CCTTTAATTGCTCATTTGCTTTGAGTAACCCAATGATTTTTAATTCCCAGAAATAAAGTCCACCCAAGTAATTCTATTTTTCCTTTTTTTCCTGTACACATATATGATCAGAATCCAACAAACTAAAAACAGAGATGTAAAAAGTTATTATGAATTACTACTAAATTGATGCACTATCTAGAGTCCTTGCTGAACATGGATTCGATTATACATTTTTATTACAAATCTCTCCTTACAGCTTTATTTGTAAGCAATTCCGTAGTTTGCCAAAACACCAATTAAAATAGCTACATACCCTAAATGCTCTATTCTTCTCCTCCTTCTGCTGTTTCTCCACTTCGACATGGCGGGCCAGACGAGCCAGAGTTAAAGCGACTTTATCCTTCTGATGGTCAATATGGTCTTTATGCTTAACATTACCCTATAATTGAAAACGAACAATTTTCAGTCCTTTTAACAAACAAAATTAGTTTTAGGAGAACGTATATCCATTTACCAAAGAATTATTGTATTAAAGAACTACTTACATTTACCATTATCAAATTTCTAAGAAACTGTCTTGTGTATTTTATACCTATGCAGTGTTTTGTAGATCAACCAATCATTCACCAGCACCACTGTTTTCAAAGTTAGATAGACTGGCTGCTAGGACATTTATCATCTTTATTTACTTTCCAATCACCTGGATATTGAAAAGGTTGGCATTGCTTTGCACTGAGTGGATAAGGTAATGCCATCAAGCCATTAATCCACAGTCTAAAAACACAGGTGGCAAACACAAGGGCCACAGGCCGAATCCGGCCTTCCGCCTTGTTTTATCCGGCATCTTGTTTCTATCCAGTGGCAGCGCCGAGCTCTCATTTAACTGTTGAGTAGTTACATTTATAGAGTCCTAAAATTACATTCGGCCCTTTAAGGCAACCACGAGGCTGATGTGCCCCCCCCCCCCGTGAAAATGAATTTGACACCCTAAAGTACAAACATCCTTAGTTTTGTTTTTTCAGCAATGGCAGGCCACTATTTACTTATGAGAAACTACTGATTTTAACGTATACATTGCTGATCCAATATATAAGTAGCTTAGAAGTTGCCACTCCATCCTAACAATGAGCAAAAAGCTAAACAAACTGATGAATCAACACCTCTTCTTAGATTAATCAAAGTCAGGTCACAGTATAAACTGCTGTCCCCCAAATGAGAGAGACAGGAGGCAGACACAAAGAATCACATCTTAGTGCAGAGGAAACTCATGAGGAGAAACAGTAGCAGAAAGCAATACTGAGTAGGAAAACCTGAACCATAACTGATGAATTGCCTGTCAGTGTGGACAAGTCTGAGTTAAAAATTCCAGGGGAACCCAATGTCTGCATCAATTCACATTGCCACCACCAATGTATCAGGGTTCCCCTTTCTCCACATCTTTAACACTTACTTCTTGTCTTTTCGATAATACCCATTCTGACAGACGCAAGGTGGTACCTTATTGTAGTTTTGACTTGCATTTCCCTGACCATTACAGTGACGTTGCACGTTTCTGTGTGCCTCTGGCCATCTGTATGCCCTCTTGGGAAAAATGTCTATTTGTATCCTCTGTCTGTCCCCTTTTAACCAAACTATCTTTCTGTTATTAAGTTCTCTATATATTTTGGATATTAACCCCTTATTGAATACATAATACGCAAATATTTTTCCTCCCATTCAGTAGACTGCCTTTTCATTTTGATGGTTTCCTTTACTGTGCAACTTTTTAGTCTGATATAATCCCACCTGTTTATTTTTGCTTTTGGTGCCTTTGCTTTTGTAGTCGGATCCAAAAATTCAATGCCAAGACTAAAGTGAAGGGGTTTACTGCCTATTTTCTTCTGGGAGTTTTATAGTGTCAGGTCTTACATTCAAGCCTTTAATCCATTTTGAGTTATTTTGTGTATGGTGTAAGATAGTGGTCTAGTTCCATTCTTTCAAATGTAGCTGTAACTACCATTTACTGACAAGGCTGTCTTTTGTAACAGATTAACTGATCATGGATGTGTGGGTTTACAAGTATTTCTGGACTCTCTATTTGGTTCCACTGACGTATGTATCAATTTCTATGCCAAAACCACACTGTTCTGATTAATATAGCTTTGTGATATAGTTTGAAATCAGAGAGTGTGCTATCTCCAACTTTTTTCTTTCTCAAGATTTTTTGTATGTGGTTCCATACAAATTTTAGAATTATTTGTTCTAGTTTTGTGAAAAAAAAAAAAAAAAAAAAAAAAGCTGTTTGAATTTTGATAGGGATTGCACTAAATCTGTAGATTGCTCTAGGTGGGACATTTGAACAATATTAATTCTTCCAATATATGAGCACAAAATTACCTGTCCATTTATTTGTGCCTTCTTCAATTTCTACCACAATGTCTTAATAATTTTCAGTGTATAGGTCTTTCATCTCCTTGATTTCTCCTTAATTTCTTTTTCTGATAGTTCACTATTAGTATATAAAACTCCTGTATATTGGCTTTTTTATCCTGTGACTTAATAACTTCATTAGCCCTGGCTCATGTGGTTCAGTTGATTGAGTGCTGACCTGTGAACCAAATAGTCATTGGTTTGATTCCCAGTCAGGGCACATAACTGGGTTTCTGGCCAGGTCTGCAGTAGGGGGCTCAAGAGGCAACCACACACTGATCTTTCTCTCCCACTCTTTCTCCCTCCCTTCCCCCTCTCTAAAATAAATAAAATATTTTTTTAAAATTCATTTATTAGTCGTAACAGGGTTTTTTGTTGGAATCTTTCATGTTTTCTATAGACAGATGTTCCTTGACTTATGACAGGGTTATGTCCAAATAAACTCATCTTAGGTTGATAATATTCTAAATCAAAAATGCATTTAATAGCCCTGGCTGGTGTGGCTCAGTGGATTGAGCGCGGGCCTGCGAACCAGACAATCGCAGTTCGATCCCAGTCAGGGCATATACTGGGGTTGCAGGCAGGTTCCCTGCAGGCCAGTTCCCAGCAGGAGATGCATGAAAAGGCAACCATACATTGATGTTTCTCTCCCTCTCTCCTTCCCTTCCCCTCTAAAGATAAATAAATAAAATCTTTTAAAAAAATGCATTTAATAGCCCTGGCTGGTGTAGCTCAGTGGATCGTTCGTGTGGGCCTGCAAACCAAAGGGTTGCCGGTTTGATTCCCACTCAAGGCACATGCCTGGGTTGTGGGCCAGGTCCCCAGTTAAGGGCAGAGGCATGGCAGAGGCAACCACATGTTGATTGATGTTTCTCTCCTTCCCTTCCCCTCTCTCTAAAAACATAAATAATTTTTAAAATGTATTTAATATACCTAATTTATGGAACATTATAGCTTAGCCTAGTCAGTTTCTATGGAATGCAAATCACTTTCACACCATCCTAAAGTCAAAAAATTGTAAGTCACATAAGTTGAAGACCACCTATACAGATTGTCATCTGCAAACAGTGTGTTTTACTTCCTTTCCAATCTGCGATTAGATGCCTTTTCCCCCCTGGCTTAGACTTCTAAAAACTACATTGAATAAAAGTGGCAAGAGTGGACATCCTTGTCTTGTTCCTAATCTTAGAGGAAAATCTTTCAAACTTTTCATTTTTGATTATGTCCCCTAGAGATCTGTCATTTTTGAATGTTGAAGTGCATTCCCTCTTTATCTCCTTTCTTCGGTTTTTTTTTTTCTTTCCATAAATGGATGTTGAATTTTGTCAGAAGCCTTTTCTGTTTTTACTGTGATGACCATATGATTTTACCCTTCATTTAGTTAATGTGGTGTATCACATGGACTGATTTGCAAGTACTGAGACATCCTTGCATCCCTGGAATAAATCCCACTGGATGGATCATCACGCATACTCTTTTCAATCTACTGTGGAATTTGGTTTGGTAACATTTTCATGAGAATTTCTGCATCCAAATTTTCTCAAATATTAAATACAGGCTTTTTACTTTACTTTTTACTCATCTGCTCACCCAAAAGTTGAGCCTGTAAGTCTCTTCTTACTGCCATAACTAGCTAAACCAGTTGTCTAGAAATATTTGCCAAGATCAAGTCAAAGGGAATGGAGAATATATGCAGCAATCTGCTTTTGTAAAGCAATGTCTCAAAACTCCATACTGAAAAGTGGGACTTCGCAAGAGATATTGTCATTTTACAAGAGCTTGTAGTAGTGTTTCATTTTGTGGTTTCATGCTAGACAAATTATTTGTATTTTAAAGTCATTATTACTAATCTCTAAAAAAAACTTCAGTTCTAAACAAAAAATGATCAAATTAAGCATTTTTACAATATTACTTTTTAAATGAAAATACGAGTAGAGTCACTAAACTTCTCTGTGAAACAGAATAAATCTGCTCCAGGTACCACACTGGGTGATATAATCCATGAGAAAGCACTCTGTAAAAATAGCTGTTATCCAGAGAAGTGATAACAGCAATCCAGTTCCGACTCACCAAGGCATTTTTTGGCTACTAAAAAAGCCAGTAATAAAACAAGATGAAATTCGGAGGAGGAAGGGTGTGGGTGAAGAAAAGGGAGAGGGAACACAGACAGAACCATCCAAAGCAGAGTGTTATTTACTCTTGTTATCTCTCTGAATGTGACCTGGCACTGATTAGAGGAACACCAATTGGAAGATGATTATTCCCTCCTACCTCTTTATCTTCTATGTAAGGGATCCCAAGTTCAAAAAAGCTCAACGGAGCAACCAACTGCAAAAAGTGGCATAAATTAAGTTTGCAAATTGTCTTATTTATCTACTACGATTGGTTTGAACAGAACTCCTAAAACTGCATTACGCCCTACACAGTCAAGTTTCACAGCCTGATTCCGGCCCGTCCTACAGTGTGGTCCACAGTTGGTCCGAAGTCTGCATCCCTGGAGGTGTTTCTTCTACCCAACTCGTAACCCGAACCACATCCCAAACAACATTTTGGAAAGCAACAATTTTTCTCAATAATTCTATATTCAAATACAGATGGAAGAGAAGAAATGAACACAGCAAAGCAGTACAGTATTTATTTACCATCTCCAGCAGCAAACCTTTGGAACCAGGAAACGACCCTTTTGTACAAAGCAATCTCCTTCCCACCCCCAACTGTTATTGTTTACAAATACAAAGCATACAGAATAACTGCTTTATATGAGCAAATTTAAAAACATACATACAGATATACCCCATTCTGTAAAGTAATTTAGTTAAGAAGGCTACAGTACCATCGAGCCTGTTAAATAAGATTCCTCTTGTATCGTCTTTTGGGTAAACTGCCAATATCTATAAAAATTCCCTTCTTGAAAGAATGACTTTGATTATCCTTCAGTATAGGTTTAAAATAAATAACTAAATGTATCCTTGGATTTTCAAGGAATTCAAAAAATCTCTCAAAATAAAGAAAAACAAAGCAAAGTGGAGTCACAACTTTTTGACCCTGAATGCCGCTGCTCTACCTCTGGTACAGGAAATAAAAGGATAAATCATGCTGAGAGAAAAGGTGACAGTGACAACAGCCGCAAGGAAAAAACCTCAAACCAGAGAAAAAACAGGGATTTGGCAAAATGTGCTTTGGATGCTGCTGGAGTTACCACTGGCACAAAGTTCACGGGTCCTTCTTTAATACAACACCTCCAAACTCCAATGAAGCAACATTTTTAGAACTCTATTTTCCCCAAGTCCACCCCCAATTCATCTGTAAGCCAACAGACAAACCACCCACATTTACTTACAATGAGGATACACTGCCAATAGGTGGTCCTGAAATATGCAACCATATACCCATAATGGTATGTCACATTCCACTTCAGTGACATGATCCTGTTCATCTTCAAAGTTGTTCTCTACCAGTGCCTCAGTTCTATTTGAACACTAGAGCTGTCCCTGGGGATAGAGGTGCACTGACTGAGAGCTCTCCTTTGGCTAGGTGCAGGTAAGAAAATAAGTGCTCTGGATGTATATAGTGGAGTAGGGTGCAAACCAACTACTATAGACAAGACTATTTCTATAACCTTACACAGGTAAAGGCTATACCAACAGAACAGTTTGAATAGGTAGGAACCAATGTTTTCATGGGTAATGTATCTTTCTTCAGCTTAATCTCCTCCAATTATGGCCTCATAAAGGCTGTTTCTTAATAATTTTAAAACCAGAAACACAATGCTGCCCATGCCCTTGCACACAGATTCCTTCGCCAAATGCCTGGCTCCCATTTCTCCACTAATCCAACTAACCCTTATCTGATCATGTTCAATCAGCTCAATCAGAAATTTCACAAGAAAACCTTCCTCGACTCCTCTACATGGACATCTCTTCTGTCCCAAGTGCATCACAGGCCTTCCTCTTAACAGCATAATTACTTCCACTGGCATTTCTTTCTCTAAAGATAACATACCATCTCTTAACTGCCAGTATCCCAAGAACTTAGTACCTGCCTACACATGGCAAGTACTGAAAAAGAGGTTTGACAAATGAAAAGATTGTTTCCAGCATTAATGCAAAAGGACAAAATACCATTCACCAAAAATTGTATATACATACCTACATATCCTAGCTCTTCAGTCTATATTCTCTTTTATTTTTCTTACTGTTTATTACAAACATTTCCTAGCCTACACTTGAGAAAAGAGACTATTTTACTTTAAATGTTTTTCAATGGCGTAGTCCACTGCTGGGTTTATGATATAGTTTAATGGTTCAGCCTTAAAAAAATACTGTAAATAAGGAGAACATGATCTGATGACATGAAACAAACTACTGCATGCTATTAAATACATCTTGAAATGCATCTGTATTTGTATCCAGTACCATCCCACGGTTACAAGAAATCTATGAATGTGGATAGAAACAGCATAACTACTAAAGGAAGGAAATCAATACTAGGCTTCCAAGTTTTCAAAGTACTTCTGGGCACTGCCTCATTTGAGAGTAGGAAAGCACAGGCTCAGAAAATTAGTGACTTGTTAGTACTCAGACCAAGGTGTTTATAATTCAAACACAATGTGCTCTGCATCATTCCACCTTCCTTCCAATAGGCCAATATCCTCACGTTATCCGTAAAAAAAATGTTCAAGTGTATATCTCAAACAAAACGGGTGTAACAAAAAAGGTAGAAGAAAAAAAAACTAGCAATGACAATCATGACTAAAACATTCAGGGCTAAAAACAAATGGAATGCAAGTAAGCAACACAGAAAAGAGCAGCCAATGACTACGCATCAAGAATCTTAGTCCAGCACTATAAAACCTCAATGGGAAAACTAAGATGTTAGAGTTTTTAATCCAATGAGTGAAATAACCAAAAATTAGTTAATAGAAGACATCAAGTACTCAGTGATGAGAGTACAGACATAAATACTACAAGATTTAGTATATATCAAAAATCAGTGTATATCACGGAAGACATAGATTAGTATATGGCAAATTAGTTTATCAGAGAGGTAAGACTTGCGTGGGACCCTGAAAAACACATGGAGGCAGCCTAGTACAATGTTGACTTGAGACTACAAAGGAGCAGACTCTATATTCAAAGTTCGATTCCACCATTTGAGCATGTTGCTTATTGGTAAATTTCATTTCCTCATCTGCAAAATAAGGGTGAATTTCTGCCTCAAGAGTGTCTTGCAATTAGCACAGGGTATAGTAAAAATAAGCTCTATAAATGAAGGCTCTCTCCTCTACTTCCTTGCCAGGCAGGAAGATGACATTTAGACCCAAGGATATCAAGGTGCTTCCAAGATCTGTCAAAATACATTTTTGCCAAAAGTAAAAGAAATTAGGTGCTGTTACAAGCTATTAAACAAAGACCGGCATTCATGCACTTAGCACTCTGCGCTAAGATTCTAAATGAGACTAATTACAAATTAACTATCAACATACTCTACCTGAAATAGAAAAGAATGGGCTGCACACCTAACAGCAAGAAGCTTAATGTAAATAAATGTTAAAAAAAATAGAACTGAAAACTTGAAACCAGTGAATCAAAAAATGTTTTTCCCCATCATTTACATCCTTGTTGCTTCAATAACTAAAAGTGGTATAGATAAAGAGACCACACAAGTAATAAGTTATTTTAGCACATTACTACACTATAATTCAAGGTAGTGTGAAACACAGCCATCATAGATATAAATGGGAGTTAACAAGAGATCTAATTGTAGCCCTTAAAATTGAACACTGTGATAGAACCACTCTTATGGGTTATGGGAAAAAAACCTGAAAGCATACGACAGCTCCTGGGGAAAACATAGCATATGAAAGTTAGTCTTATAAAGGGACAGCTAACAGAACTCATAGTAACACTTTAAGTATTTAAAGTCAAAGGAGAACTCTAAAAATTATCACCAGGTATAAAACATTTACCTTCACCTTCTACCAAGGAATATACTCAGGTATATTTGAAAACTCGATACAACTTGAGAGAGCTCCAAAGTCCTAAAAGTACAGACAACCTGAGAACTCTTATGAATTCTTAACAAGGCATGAGAAAATCTAATAGAACATTTGAAATAGACAGTTACTCAACAAAACCATTAAAGCCCTTCCAACCCATGGAAAACTTGGCTAACTTTAAGATACAGTATATCTCAAGCTGTACTGTAAATTCATGGTGAAGAGCCTAAAAATCTTTATACAGAGAAAAGATGCACTTGACCATAAACTATATGTAATAATACATTTGTGTGAATATGTAAAAATGAGAAAATAATACTATCATTAAACAAGAAAGCATTAAAAACTGATGAAAATTCAACAGCTCAATAGCTAGGGAACAGGTTGAGACTGGACAGGGTACTTTTTTTTTAGGGACATTATTAAGACAAAACTAGAAAATCCCCTACAGTAATGCTGAAGGCATCATATTTAAATATACAAATATAAAGCCACATCAAAATTTTGGCTAGTTTATACTGGCAGAATGGAAAATTTAATCTACATTGAAGAGATTAAAGGAAGATCAGACATCCTTCTAGAAAGAGGTGTTTTATAAAAAGAGAGAAAAGAACAATACAAAGAATGGACCAATCTGCTAACACCAAAAGGACACAGTGGAACTGGGACGACTTCCAGACAGATCCAACTGGAAGCAAACATAATTTCCCACAATAAGATACCTCAGTGCTACCAAACACTACTATTAAAAAGTTCTCATTGTATAAAGTCAAGCAAATGAAAAGACAAAGTTATACAAAAATATCATCCCACTAATCTATAAGAGAAAAAAGATTTAATAAAACAATATTCTCATCATTTACTAGGAAGGGAAATTCCATAAAAGGATATTTTAATGGCTTACAAAACTTGGTCTATCTGAAAAAATAACTGAAAGATTTGCATTCAATGCCATGATCATCATCAGTATACTATTAGCTTCCACCTATACATTTTCCTAAGTGAAAAATGAAAAACTGGTCGGTTTGTGTACCCACTAATGAAAAACTATACAGAATGGATCTGGCCAACTGACTAATAAATATACAAAAAACGTATACAGTTATGACAACTAATTGGACTAGCCGCTAACATCAAGTAAAAAATAAATTTCCAAGGATGAGAAAACCTAAACAGTGCAAGTCACAGACAAAATATGCCTCACATTTAAAAAAAAAAAAGGTTTCAGTTACTGTAATCTTTAAAACTCTTTCAACAAAGATCTAATCCATAATTTCTAGTATCATTAGAACCAGTCAATTAATTGTATCTTCAAGAATACTAATATGGCATTCAACTGAGTCCAATTTTATAGCCAGAAGCAATTCTGGATTGTGTCTATTGCAACCTCCTTGTTTATAGTAATTAAAAGGTTATCCTGGATGTACTGGGACCTTAAGGACATTATCAATATGGTCAGGTATCATTAAGTAAATTACCTGTACAGTACTAATGTAATACACTAATTAGTATCCAAGTAGCCTGAAAGAGTTTATGCTCCCCTCAAATGTCATTTTGAGGGCTAAGTAAATACTGGAATTATACTGATAAAGGAGCTATCACACAATTTTAAAAAGTTGAAGTGCAGTTACAGTGATAAGGAAGTGGTTACACAGTCTTAAACAAATAAGAAGATAAAGTGTCAGCAAATTTACTCCTTTTTCCTAATGTCCTTGTTTCTTCTTACCAACTAAGCAGATCCACTTATCAAATATAATTTTATTCTACTATGGCTGCATGAGACAAATGACTCAGTCAAAAGCCTAGAATCTACAGATAGAAACAAAACCCACCTCAATGCCCCCAAAACTGACCCAATCACTATTATTACTAACATTTACTACTGTGAAGTTATTTAAATAAAGGAGGGACATACTCTATAACCTTCTGAAATGCATTAACAGTGCTATAAAGAAAACGAACATTCAGAAGGAGAGTACATTTAGATAGTGCAATTGTACAAATGAATAAACTACAAGATTAAAAATTACTGTACAAAATTCACGTATCACTAGCAACATATGCAAAACATCAAAATGTTAACTTTTAAACAAGAGTGTGAAATTTAAAAAGGCACTTCATGTAACAATTAATGGAAACAGTATTTCTCTGTACACATTAACTACAAGAAATCACATTGTCTCCACATACATTTTATGTCTAGTCAAGAAATAACATTTTTAAGAAAAAGTATTATTAGACACATCCCTTTTGAGAATACCAAATTATTAAACTTGCAATAATTGCAAGGCCTCCTAGAAAACCTGTTCGTATTTAAACGTACAAGGTTGGCTAATGGAACACTTTGTTACAGGCTCTGCACATGGCAGGCACGATACGAAAACTTACTATCTGACCAATTATGAGTTCCACACACTGTTGGGGTTGTCTCCCTAGACAAAGCCCTCATTTTTAGTTTTATAACACCATTATAATTCAAGTATGTCAGAGAAAGACTTTAAAATAATAAAAACCAAACAGGTTAAGGATAATGTTTCTTCTGTCGTCAGGAGATTATAGCTAAAACCAGTCCCAACTCTGTAGTATTTTCTCCCTATCCCCATTCAATTATCAAATGCCTTCAGAAGTGAGCTACTTGATCATCAATTTAGTAATTTCCCAATACCTCTTTACTTTTAGGAAAATTCTCTGGAGAGGGTTGGACATATCCATTAGTGATAAAGCAATGTGTTCAGCTTTGTTACTGAGCAATATAACACAGGAGGAAGAGAATAGCAATGTTGTTTTAGAAATATTTAAGAAAGGAGGAGCTGCAAAGCAATGTAAATATAGTTAACACTATTGAACTGTACAGTTGAAAATGGTTTAAGATGGTAAATTTTAAGTTGTCTTTTTCTAAACCACAATAAAAAATACAAAAATTACAGAGGAGAAGCATATTAAGCAGAGGTGCCAAAGCCGTTTCAGAGAATCATACCTTCAAGCATCATTTATTTTGGTTTGGTTTCTGGAAAATCAGAGTACCTCAAAGACCATCAAGTTTGTGACCCAGTATTTAAGTCAGGGAAGGAGAGAAATGGAAAAGCAGAAGCAGTTTAAAGTAGCCTCGGCTAATTTAATATGCACGTGCAGCCAAACAGAAAAGTTTCAAGGTCTTCCTCTCTCTCCAGTGACTAGTTCTTTCACAGAATAAACTAGGGACAACTCATGGACTATAAAAATCTTTGTATGATTTTGTAGGCCCTTGTTTCTTTACAGGAGAAATGCTCTTCTAGAGTTCAATTTGAAAGACAGTGCCTATAGCACTGGCATGGACCTAAAAGATTAGAAAACTATGGAAATATAGAAAAAATAAAGATAAATGTTAACTGTAGATATGACTTAACCTACTTTGCAACATGATCTCTATCAAAGACTGTAGATTAGGCTTAATCTACAAACAGGACCAATACAGTATCAACTTATCTAACAAAATAACTTATTCCAAGTAGGGATATTTGCCTCTTCAACCTCTACAGCACAAATTTGTTTCTGAATATGGTTATGATGGGAAGAATGAGACTCCAATAAACTATTAAAAAGTGGGGCACAAGGAAAACTGTCAATCACCACTGTGCAAAAACTATACCAAGAAATGGAAACCACATGAATCCTAAAACAGTGTTACATTCCATTAACAGTATACCCAAAGTACTTTGATCAAGCAGATGAAAAACTGTAGATGTTTGACAAGTTACAAAATTATAAGTCTACTGATAAAAAAATGTTTTTGATTTCCAAGCAAATAATATTAGGCCATGTATCCAGATCCTACAAACTTGACAAGTTTCTCCATTCCTGAAGTCATGCTACAAAGACAAGGTCGAAGGGCTGATATATAGTACAGCCACTGCCTTGACATTAAAAAGATCATTGTGGGACATATAATTGAGGTATCTGCTGCTAGTTCCAGGACGGTAGAGAAATATTAATTGAACCAATTGAGAGCAAAACAGTCAGTCATCTCTCATTGTAAGAGTCTGACTAGATTTAGGAACCAATAAACCAAGATGTCTCTGAAGTCTTGATTTTAGATTTTAAGAAATCAATTAATGGATATCATCATTTAAATAGATATCCAGAACCAGAACTGTGTGAGATACTCTCTTTACTGCATCCATTGTTACACTCCAAGTCTTAAGGATTTCTCAGTAACATCGATTGATGGCATCCATCTTTATTATAGTAAGAGGACTGGATTGTCAGGCATGTTTGGAATTCTTGCTCTTTTAAGAGTTGATTTGCATGCCTGGATGGTATGAATAACATCCTTTACTTCCAGGGCACCAATGTACATTATCTTTTTTGTATTTATAGTGTATTTATCAAGCTCAAAAAAGTTAAATATTTAGAAGGTGGATGTTTTAGAAGGTCATCTTGGTAAAAGTTCCAGATTATCCTGACAGAACACCATTACTGGGTCTCCCAGTTTGTGGATATGAGAGCCTGACAGGTCAAAGGCTTATGAGTGATAAGGGCAAAAAATTCCTTCATACATAACTTGAAGTGGTGATGGCACTATAGCCATCAGTCTTGACGAAGATAGTTACTGTGAAATTTTTAGAGACGTTACAGGTAGAAAAGTATTTTTCCAGCTGGTGCCCACAGCAGACCTGTGACGTCTAGTCATTCCACTAGAAGCAAACTGGATTTGGCAATATCTCAATTCCAGTTCTAGATATACAGCTTCATGGTTGATGTGAAGTCTCATAGAGCTTGAGAGTAGCATGGACTCTTAGTGAGTTGATCATCCTGATATAGACAGATTATAACAGATTTGTCATTTTGTGAAGATCTGACAAGTGAAGCCTGAACAAGGAAGTACTGATGACCTAAAAACAAAGGATTTGCCTCTGTTACACAGAGATCCAGTAAGTAGTAGGTTATTTCCAGACCCAAAATCTGCTAGTCCTCAGTTTACCAGCAAGATTTTCCTGAGGAACAAATCTTTATATTTTTCTGTAATCACAAGAGGATTCAGATTCCTGAGTACCTTCCTCTGGGCTTACTCTGAACCAGAAGTGATGGGTAAATCTTCGTCCCACCCTACTCAGATGAAAAGTCTCTGCTGCTCATTTGGCCAATAAAAGACGATTATCTTTAGTATATACTTCATTCCAAAAGTCTAGAATTTAAACATCAGCTGTGGTAATTCTAGACATTCATTCAGTTTTGGAGGTGACCTCCTAGCTGTAAATCCTGTGTAAGTCAGGAAGAGCAAATAAATACTTAGGATGTTGGATGGCTATACTGCTGAAATTCAGGCTACTAATTCTTGTACCCATGGCGTTCTGGAGATTCTCCCTTTTTCCTGTATCTATAGGGATGGTTTCGGGGTTTGTACCAATCCCCTTTGGAGTACCCTCTGCTGTGATAATGTACTTTCTGATCGTGACCATAAAAATATCGATGTTGGTTATAGTATTTGCTGTGGTCTTTATAGTCATTTTCTTTTATACTGCTTTCTTCTGCAACAACAGCATTCACATCTTGTCCAAAGAGGGAAGTGCCATCAAAAGGCAAGTGTGAGATCTTTTCCTGGGTTTTCTTAGTGAGAGATGTAAGTCGGAGCCAGGCTTGCCTTCTGTAGTCGACTGCCATTGCCATAACTCTGACTACAGAGTCCATTATGTCCCTAGTGGTACAAAGCTGCCAAAGGCCTGCATCCATACCATCAGATATGATACATCTTGCTTTTCCACGATCAAACTCTGGGTCATGAACCAGATCCTCCATGTCTTCCCAGAGTTTACGCTGATACTGAGTCATATAGGCCATGTAGCTAGCAGCTCGGGCTGCAATGGAAGCAGCATGGTAGAATCTACAACCCATGACCTCCATTTCTTTTGAGGTAGAATCTAGAGGAGATGCTGTGCTTCCTCTTTTGCTATGCTCTAAAGCTTCTACAATGGGGCCCTCAGCTGGAGGATTTGGTTGGAAAGGAGAGGTATCCTTGGCCACAGGATAAACCCTGTGTCCCATGAAAGAAGAAGGATGGCAATCAGCTGGGTCTTTAAAAACCTCAGTGGTGGCAATTCTTAGAAGAGGATGCAATGGAGGAACCAAACGTTTTTTAGAGGTCACACAATCAGGTTTCCCATCACATGATTCTCCTTCAGATTGTAACGTTACTCTCTTTATAACACCTCTCTGTTCCATTCTCTTCAAAAGACCTGTGAAACTAGTCTGACTGGGGTCAGCTGGCTGCCCTTTGTCATCTGCTGAAGGGGATTTGCAGTCAGCTTCTTCTTCAACTGTGGATAAGTTTTCTTCCTTGGAGGTGATGTCCCAAGGTACTGAGGAGTTCTCACTTGGCCTAGAATGATGAAATCTGAAACAACTCCTAGACTGCAGGTCACGTATCACTCGGGACATCTCAGCCACTTGTGTCTGGAGATAGAGGATGGCATCCTGTCCATGCTGTGGTGAAGAAGACTCTGGAGATAAATCCTCCTTGACCTCGGAAGAGACCAAAGATTCTTGGGGGACCAAAAGTGGAGATGAAGGCAGAGTCTGATAATTTTGTGATGACTTAAGTGTCTCTGTCTCAGAGATCTTAACATCTGAATTATTTTGATCATTTTTCTGGTTCTCCAATAGGTTCTCAATAGAAGAAGGTTGAAAAACTATCCTTTGTGGACTGCTGGTGCAACTCCCAGAGGAGCTGCTCTTTCCAATGGGAAGAGGAACACTGCAGCTAGAGCACATTTCTGGGCGATGATTCTCAGAGGATGGCACCTTAGACTCAGGCATTCTCTGGGTTATCCACATGAACAAGAAAACCAAGGAAGAAAAAAAAATGCTTTTAATATGTTAACTTTCAAGTGCAGAGATGCATGTCCAGTAAGTAGAATTCAATTTTTTTAATTATTATAATTAACAATGAAAGATGCAATCCACTATAGGTCAGCAAGGGGTTCCCAGAAATCAAATCCACAAGCTTCACTTCCCCAAAGACCCAATACCAATCACGGGAATTAACCTGGCACTCTGTCTCTGAAAAAGCGAGTACAAACAAACCCAGTGGCGCCATCCTAGCTTGCTGCTTGGTCCCATGCTAGGATAAGAAAAAGTAGTGAGACCATTGGTGACGGTAATTTTTTAATCCCATTTAACATATTTAAGTCAACGAGTAGGAGCTAATAATTGCAGAGAAAACGTGGGTAAAGTTTCACTGAGAAAAACATGGTTTCTTCTAAAAGTCCTCCAATTGTAGAAATCACTTTTAAACCTCTTTAGTAAGTCTCTCGTTCACTCTCCATGAACAACAAAACTTTCCCATTGCACAGTCCTACTACATAGTTTTCAAGGAGCTTACATGTTTTTGTTACCCCATTTCATCCTCACAACAACCCTGTGAGGTAGGTACTATTCTTGTTTGATAAAGAAACTAAAGTTAAAAAGTTACTTAATTTATCCAAAGTGACAGAATTAATAAGGAATAAAGCTGAGAATAAAACCTAGGTATTTTGATTTCAGGTCCAAGTCTTAATTCCCTACTATCACAAAAGAAGACGCTTCTGGTCACCCTGAACAAGAGCCAGGAATTCTCTAATCCATCAAGTAAATAGCCTATTAATAGCAATTCGGGCTACAAATGAAAGACAAGAGTGCTACAAAAGACTAAGCTAATTTGGTTCTCCAAGTAAGGAAAGTATTAGCTTAGGGATCAATCCCACATCCAAAAAAATTGTATGTAAAAGAGAAAACTTCAAATATATGGGGGATAGAAGAGGTTAAAAGATACGACAACTGAAGTAATTTATCACCTATAACCCTTCCCCACAGACCAATTTTTAAAGGATCTTCACATATCTTTTCTTTCAAAATAAAACAATTTTTCTGTGGCCACATAATTGTAGATGAAAAGGATCAAGTTATATAAGGCACCTGAAGAGAGACAGGAAAGGAGAAGGACACAGGAGCCAAAAAGCTTGCAGTTTTTATTCCATTTCCCTTTCATCAAATATCACCTCCAAGGCTTAGAACTTCCATGTGTCATGTCATCCTTTCACATCCTCACTGAAAGTGGAGGAACAAAACTGAAAGTAGGATATTCTGTGCAAAGAACTCCTTGGACTACCTATCACGGCCCATTCTAACAGTAATGGGCTATTCTGTAAAGCACGAACCACAGTCACCCAGGATCTGATAACTCTCTTTAGAGAATGCCTCTTAAATGACAAGAGTAAAGCAATGCAAATCAAATATAACGTACTTACATCACTATGAGAGGTGCTAGGCTCTTCGTCATCACTGCTGACCAGGTCGATGTATTCAAGAACAGGTCTCAGTGGTCCTTCCTATGAAAGAATTGAGCAAATTAACAATGCATAAACAATTATTCACATGAAACTAGCATTTAAAAGAATCATCTTTGTTGGGATTGGCAAGAATTCCTCTGAAGAGGACACCTTATGGCTGGCAGAAAATAATCAGGATCAGAATAAATGCAGAGAAAAATATTTGGAGTATGTATTGGGTTGGCCAAAAAGTCTATTACATTTTTTTCCATAAAATAGAAGACTCATTTTAATTTTCACCAGTAACTTTATTGATTTGAATATTTTGAGTATGCCGGCTATCTCCTGCTATTGATTTCTGGCCCCTATTGAGCAGGGTCCAGTGGTGCTGCTAAACATCTTCTAATGTGTAAGACAGCACCACAGCAAAAAATTACTTGGCCAAAATGTCAATAGTACCAAGAAACTTCACAAACCACTTCTGACACAGTCAGTCAGTCATAGCACCTTCTCCATACACTGCACAAATCTTTTGTGTTGCAGCTGCATTTTTACCTTTCTTGAAATAATAATGCATAATACACTGAAAAGTGTTGTGTATCTTCTTCCGTCTTCAGTATTAAAATGGCTGCACAAAAATTCACAAATTTTGATAAGTTTTTTAAAAATCCATGCTGATATGACGGCTGTCACAATACAATCTAACAAAATTTTTTTGAATGAAGTTAAAGACAACTAAGTGCTACCAGAGCAATCATATGGAAAAAACATAGCCCGGGCTGGTGTAGCTCAGTGGATTGAGCGCAGGCCTGATAACCAGAGGATTGAGGTTTGATTCCCAGTCAGGGCACATGGCATGGGTTGCAGGCCAGTTCCCAGCAGGGGACACACTAGAGGCAACCATACATTGATGCTTCTTTCCCTCTCTCCTTCCCCTCTAAAGATAGACAGACAGACAGACAGACAGATAGATAGATAGATAGATAGATAGATAGATAGATGATAGATAGATAAGACTTTTTGCCCAACCCAATACATGAATAAGAAATGATGATGAGACCTAGAAGGAAGAGGCTAATACCAGTAAGATTATTAGGACTGTGTTACTTGGGGGAAGGATGATTAATACAGAAGCGAACTATAAGGGCATAGATATTATGATCCAATGCTTTTCAAATGGAATGGGTATCAATGATTCGTTAGATATCCAAGCTTAAAATTCTAGAGTTCTCTGACCAATAGCTCCTTTTTATCTCCCACTTCTACAGATTCAAACATTAAAACCTCATTGTTCTTCATCCTTTCCTTCTATCCATACTGACTCTATTATGAACCAGACTTGAATGCTAGGCTTAAAAGCCTCAATTTTATTCCACGGACAAAAGGGAATCAATAAATACTAAAATAGGAGTAACAGCCTTGACCTGAGTGGCTCAGCTGGTTGGGCATCATTCTGCAAAGCAAAAGGTCGCTGGTTCATTCTCAGTAAGGGCACATGCCTGGGTTGTGGGTTTGGTCCCAGGTAGGAGAATGTATGAGAGGCAACCAATCAATGTTTATCTCCCTCTCTTCCTCCCTTCCCCTCTAAAAATACATGAATAAAATCTTTTTTTTAATTAACATAAAATAAAATAGTAGTAACTATTAGTAACTAAATAGTATTTGAGAGTTCTGTTTTAAGATTAATTACATAAAGAAGTATAAGGAGTAGGGAAAGCAGAATAATTAGTACAGAGACAAAATAATGTAGAACTAAAATAGTGATGGCAAGAATAGTGTTGTGGTGCATATACAAGAGAGTAGTACATGGGTATAATGGGGGGAAAAAGAATTGGCAATACAAAATGAAACCCAACAATAACCAGAAATCAAAGTGGCACTCAAGTTTTCAAGCTTGGGTAACTAGAAGGATACTGATGTCACAAATATAAATTTGGAATACAAAAATACAAAGCTGATATTCTTTTGCATATAATGATTTGATATGCCAAAGGTACACAGAGGTATTTGGCAGAGAGCTGGAAATGCAGGCCTGTGATCTGGATGTATGAACATAATTGAGAGTAGATATTTGGGAGTGGCTCCCCTAAAAGACAATTAACTCTAGTTTTAAACTGAAACTACGTTGTTGCTAAGGAATAAAGCAAAGAGCAGAAGAGGTTCTATCTAGAAGGCTCTTGAGGAAATGTTGGAATTTTAGGATTCAAGGAAGAAGAGCTAAGTAGGAAATGAGAGATTGGAAAAGGATCAAAGAATTTATAAACTCAAAGAAGCTAAAAATAGAGGAAACCTCAACAAAAAGTTATCAATGTTAAATGAAGCCAAAAACACCAACCCCCCCCAAAACTAAACCCCAGAAAGCCACCGAATCTGGCAGTAGATTTTAAAATGCCTTTGAGAGAGCAACTGTCAAGAAAGTAGTGAGTATAGAAGCCATTCTAATTAAAAAATTAGGTAGAAAATAAGGCAGTAAAGGACATGAGTAAAGAGTATTTCTTAAAAACAAACAAACAAACAAAACCTAGTATGTTGAGAACCAGAGAAAGGAACGCAGAAGGAGAATACGGCTGAGGGAAGATGTCTTAGGACACAGAAAACTGACTGTTGGCAAGCGAAGTGATTAATTCAGTGGAGAAGCTAACAGAAAAACACTGGAGTCTGGAGACAGAAGCTACAATCTAGTTAAAGACCCTGAAAGAAGCATCCAGTGTCAAAGATGGCTTGTTTCTCTCCCTAGGCTACCCTTTCTCTACAGGCAAATTGCTCACCTTGCAGGCAGTGATCCAGTCACCAAGAGAAAACCAGAAAGCAAAACTTCTGGGTAGGAATCATGTAATAAGTAACTGAGATTTTTGCCTAAACTATAAAAATGCAAGTTTAAAAAAGAGGCAAAGAAAACAGATATTCTCTAACGTGTGGTCAACAGAGATGCATCACCTACTCTAAGTCGAAAACCTACCACTGGTATTAAGATTATCAAAATCATATGTTAATCTAAGAAAGAAGTAGAATAGTTAAAACCAGCTTCTACTGTTCACGTAATTACCTGAGTTTACCCTCTTCAAGAAATGCGCATTACATAATTTTCTCACATACCCACAGAAATAGCAAACCAAGAAGTCCCAAGAAGTCCCCAGGTCACCAGAAACACAGAGGTAGAGGTGGAACTTCCATGAACAGAGAGTAGGTACAGAAATAAGGGAGATGAAAGTATGTAACAGGGCACAAAGTGAAAAGTAGAATGGGCAGGAAAAAAACAGAATAAGGAAACTGGCCACAAACAGGATTAAAAAGTAAATGTAGAAATCGTATATGGGGTAGGATTAAGAACAGATGAAAGAAGACTATCAGAAATGTACTACTGGAATGAACCATTAAAATGATACGTACAACTAAACAATGACAACCTCACATAATTCACACTAATGAAAAAGACAAAAGAGAATCAAGGTAGGAGATCTAAAAATGAGAAAAGGCAGGAGTCAATGACAATACTTATTCACTGAACAAACAATTCTGAAGTTGTAGTGACAGATGGTAGAAAGAGAAGACAAGGGTCTGGGACCTCCAAAAGGGCAAAGAGGCTGAGCGGAAAAACAGGAGAAGGATCCTAAAGGAAAGTATTATTTTATAAACAAATACTCTACGTTTCAACTAATTTCCACAGTGGATATGGAAAAACTTCCACCATAATAACCGAGTCAAAACATTTTAGTACTGCATTTCTTTTCCTATTAATCGGTAACATTTGTCATTGTGTCCCGTACAGGGACTGTGCTAAACTATTCAAGCACTTGATTTTATTTAATCTCCACAATTATCTGACACAGTAAAATACTGAATTACTATTATCCCACTTAACAAATGTGAAAACTAAGTGAGGTATATACCTGGTTCTCTAAACACATAATTGACTATGTGGTCAAAGCAACTGAGGTATTAAAAATATACATATATGTACTATTTTACTTTTTAAAAATACTTTATTTAGAGAGAGGGGAGTAGAGAGAGAAAGAGAGGGAGAGAAATATCAATGTATGGTTACCTCTGGCACCCTCTACTGGGGACCTGGCCTGCAACCCAGGCACGTGCCCTGACTGGGAACTGAACTCGCAACCCTTTGGTTTACAGTTTAGCGCTCAACCCACTGAGCCACACCAGCCAGGGATATACGTATTATTTTAAAATACATGCTTATTACCTAAGTTTCTAAGATACAACACCTGTTGATAAGAAAAATAAGACTACCTACTATTATCCCCAACACAGAGTAACTCAGAACAGTAACAAAAAAGTAAATTAACTCCCCTAAAAAAGCAATGTTTACACTGCAAACACCAAGGAGAAATAAGTTCTTGTAGTTATAATGACTGCTCATATCCTAAACAACTATAAATGCAGGTGGTCCTCCATTTACAAGGTACTTTATTTGAATTTGCTCCATTTATCAACTAGTAAACCACCATTTTCATCTCCTCTGTACCAATAACAAAACCAAAGGATTGTACTTCCAAGTAATTCTACTTGGGGCACACAATTTAGGGGCAGAGTACGGACACAAGCAAAACAGATCAGTATTAATACAGATCATGTATTAATTAAATTAAATTTTTTAATTAAGTAAAAAAAGGTTTCATTCCTGTTATTAGAACACTGATTCTCATACCAAAACATCAACTGCTTCTTAATTAAAAAATAATGTCAACATACTAAGATATAGTATACAAAACAAAAATTACCCCAGTCTAAAACAAATATGGATTTAAGACAGATGCAAAAACCTAATCTAAAATCCTATATAATTCATTTTTTTCCATATAGAGAAGTTAGGGACTGCCCAGTTCTAAAATTTCAATGGTTCTCAATTTCCTACTCTAAGTTCATATTTTGTCCACAATTCAAGATCTATATATCTGGACCATCATCTTTTCTCTCACATTAAAAAAAAATTTTTCTTTATTCACCAGAACTACACAAATCCTGCTTTTCCAATTTTGATGTCTTTCCTTATTTCTTCTCAAAATGACATTTTAAATACATACAAATACTAAATGCTATTTATGCCAAAGTCATAAACTGAAAAGTCTTTTTTTTTAAGTACCATGTTCTTTTTATAAAAGAACTTTCCACTGGAACTATTTACATAGTTCTCATCTATTTCATCTCCCTCACTGAAATACTGATACTTATGGGTAGAATATATTTCCAATGAATATTTATAGCTCTACTGTACTTAACTCATGACTTTGCATGCTATGAGCTCCAACATTATTTTTATTAAGTTCATTACAGTCCTAAGATACCCAAACAAAAGGTACCCTAATTTTTTTCTTGCCTATAACCCACTCTACTGCAGGTAAAGTATTATCACTTCACCTATGTGCTCAAGTTATTTATGAAATTATACCTTAATTTCCTTGATTATTTTCACACGTTCAATGATTCCACAATAAACCAATAATCTTAGCTGAAACCTAAATCTCATGTGCTGGTCTCAAGATTATGAAAGGCTGCCTCAGCAGTTTTTAATAGCTTTGTATCCAGAGCAGGACCGTGAAAAATCATATCATCAGCTCTTAGCTAAAACAGTTTTGGGGAGTCTATTAAAAGATCTACTTTCAAAGAAAGACATAAAGATGGTTGAATAAAGAGTCATATTACTAAACTAAACAGGAAATGAAAGAAAAAGATCTAAATGAAAAGTAACATTCTATTTCTTGATTTGAGCACTGTTTACACAGGTGTATTGGCTTTACATAAATCAAACAGCACACTTATGAACTGTGTTCTATTTTACATTTTAATAAAATATTGGGTTGACCCAAAAGTTCATCATTTACTTTTTTCCGTAAACTAAAAGACACATTTTTCATTTTCACCAATAACTTCATTGATTTGGACATTTTGAGTATGCCGCCTCTCTCCTGGTATTGGCTTCAAGAGGCCAGGGATGCTGCTAAGCATTTTCCAATCCATAAGACAGCCCTATAGCAAAGATTTGGCCAAAATATTAATAGTTCCAAGAAACTCTGCAAACCACTTTTGACACATTCGACTGGTCACAGTACCTTCTCCAAATACTGCACAAATCTTTTTTCGCGTTTCAGTTGCAGTTTTACCTTTCTTGAAATAATGCATAAAACGCCAAAAATGTGTACCTTCTTCAATCAACATTAAAATGGCTGCACAAAAATTCACCAATTTTGATTTTTTTAAAAAATGCACACTGATATGACAGCTGTCATGATACAATCTAACAAAATTGTTTCAAATGAAGTTAAAGACAACTAAGCACTACTACCAAAATAAGTACCAAATTTTCAGACTATAAGATGCACCAGACCATAAGACGCACCTAGGTTTTAGAGGAAAATAGGGAAAAAAAAACTTTGAAGCAAAAAAATGTGGTAAAATATTTAATAACATAAATCACACAGGCCGCCACCCTCACAGCAAGCCAGGCAAGCGACATTCAGACTGTAAGACACACACCCCCTTTTCCTCCCAAATTTGGTGGGCTGGGGAAGAGGATTTTATAGTCTAAACTGACTTTTGGCCAATGTAATATAAAGAAAAGGGTTATTTTGAACCCCCACATTTATATTTATCCTTTCCTTCAGCATGCTGTTCGGTTTCAGAGTATTTTGGAAACCACAGAAAGACTATGGCTGTGCACCATGTGGATCGAAGATGAGAAAATTTAATTAACGGCAAACTAAGAAATCCAAACCAGAGTAAATCAAGGAATGACATCATAATTGTCTTTTTGTATCTGAATGAATCTTAAGCATTATCTTTACTGGATAAGCATTACCTGGAAGAATTAAGTATAAGATTAGGTATCTGACAAAAAGAAATAGAAGGTTCCATCTCTAAGTGTATTTTAAAAGAGAATTAACGTATCATTGTCATTTAAGTGTTACCACTAAAAAGACAGAGGGAATGTTTTTAATAGGTTTCTTCTAGGATTATAATTGCACTTGATATAATTCATTTCTCCACATGGAACTATCAAATCTTTGAACCTCTATTAGAAAACTGGGATAAATGTAAAACATTGTATCAAGCTCAATACACAAAACACTGATTGTGTATTTTTTATTCTAGATGCATAGATTAACAAGTTCTCTACATTTAAAATAAAATTTCAAGAATATTTTTAAACCTCAACTTATCAAGCTTATATTAGTTACAAGCTGCAATTCTTCATTCTAGAGTACAAAATATATATATATTATTTCCCAAATCTTATTTTAGTAGATTCCATCTGTGACTTTCAAACTAAGACATGTGGCTCATAAAGAAGTGTGTCATTCTTACTTATGTTTATACAAAATATCAAGATACTCTCCATTCACAAATATATCAATATTCAGGAAGAACCTGAAATATCTGTCCTAAAGAGCCATGGAACCCTGTTATCAAACATACTTCGGTCCACAGTGACTGAAGGGGCCTGATACAATTCTTCTAAGCACCCCCCACCCCCAAACCTTCAAAGTTTAAAATGAAAAAGAGTGTCATAAACACTAGCACTGGAGAACAAGGCATGAAATGATCTAGTGAAAGACTCCTACACAAACCCATTAAAACGCAAAACAGTAATGAATCACCAAAAATGGCCCTAATGTTGGGATACTAGATGATACTGTTTAATAACCAGTTTTACTAAGTTGCCCCAAAATGAATACAAATATACACCTTTAGTGTATTCTAAATAAAAATCACACTTTTAATAGCAAACCTCAACCATAGTATTCAGAGTAGTTTAGAGTAAAGGTATTCTCTAGGTAAGATACTACTTCAAGTGTATCATTTTATACTTTGTTATACTTGACAATATAACAAAACTATGCTTTAAAGCAGGGGAATCGAACTCATTTTCACTAGGAACCACATTAACCTCACGGTGGCTTTCAAAGGGCCAAATGTAATTTCAACTACTTAACAGTTAAGGAGTAGTTACATTTATACAGTCCTAGAATTATTTCAGCCCTTTGAAGGCAACCATGAGGTGATGTGTCCCCTAGTGAAAATGAGTTTGATAACCCTGCTTTAAAGTGTACCTTGTTATGCTTTAAAAGTTTTGGGTGAAAATCATCCTAAAATACATCATACCCACTATTTCCCTAAATCAGTGCTTTACAGAGAGTGGTTCAGAGACTCTCATCTTTGAATTTTTCCAAAATGAAGATTCCTAGGCCCACATTCAAATTCTGTAGGCACAGAGTGAGGCTTAGGAATCTACACTTACTAATGCTTGAAAACTCTCTCCAAGAAAATAAAGTCAGAAAATACTAAATAGTAAGTTCCTGGTAATGCAAGGACCTTCACTATGAACATCAATTGTTGTACTATGCTGTAACATCATGACCTCAGGGATTAGTGAGACCTTCAGGCTATCTGCCTCCACCTTATGAAGGGGCGTAATCCTCGGGTTTCGAGTTCTTACAACATTCCTCTTTTCTACATACTTCCTCATTCTTAGCAGTCTCCTCCCTCACCTGTGTCTCATCTTAGAAGACACTCTTGCCCCATTTCAATACCCAGTCTAAAGAGACCAGAACTTTGCGTCGACGACTAAGTATAAAACGGCTCTGCAGGAAGACATGAGAAGAGTCATTAAGCTGCAACATATACTTAACCAACAGTCCTTGTGATGGCTGCTGCGGCTGCTCAGAGCCCTCTTTCGGTCCTTGCTAATCTCGTGCCACGCTCCACAACTGTCTAGTACCTTAGGACGTGCAAATATATTTGTTGCATGATGAACGAACAGGTGAGGAGGTGTAGTCTCCTAATTGCTTACCACGCAGGCTTTGACTCTGGGAAAAACCCAAATATCGTTGCTACTTACACAAACAAACTGAATGTCATCTTCATTTTCATCCGTTGTGGACTCAGTTGCCTCAGGCCCGGCTGGAGGAACGGATTCTATTATCTACAAAAATAAGCCAAAACATGCTTATCTGTACAGCCACAAATATGCGGGTGGAGATTTTCCCCAAAAGGACAAATTTGCAAGTGGAGATTTTCCCTTTAAAGGAAACCTAACGGCACAATTCCACACACACCGACTAAGAACAGAATGGAGTTGGATTATGCCTCTGCATACGTGGAGCTGTAAGGACCAAACAGCAAAAGCCAGTTACTGGCTTCTCCGGATTTCCCCATCTGCCGAGAACGGGGGATGCAGGCTCACTGCTGAACTGCAAGCCTGTCGGCCAAGCAGCGGCAACGAGAAACTCAGACCTGGTGCTGGGGCTCGGGGGCGGCTGGGCGGCCATTGTTTCTGCTAGCTCCTGGCTCAGACCAGCACAGTCCCCAACACCAGGCTCGGCCACAGACGCTGAAGGTATCGTCCCTCCGCTGCAGCTGAGCACCAGGCCTCACACCCAACAAAAATACAAAACCCTTCGTGGTTCGCCTACTCACCTCTGACCCTGGGTCTCCCATTTCTCCGACGGCCTAACTGACAGCACCGCTGCTCCTGCTGTCCCTGGGGCCGCCGCTGTCGCTGTTGTCCCCGCAGACGCGGCTACCGCCACGACCTCCCTTCCCGCCCAGCACCGCTTTGCGCTGCCGTGACCCGCCCCTACGTGAGCGCTGACGCCGCCTGACGCCGCTAGCGGAAAAGAGGTGCAAAACCGCTTCAGAAGGAGGAGCAGCCAGCTCTGGCCCTCCTCCGGAGCCTCTTTCCCACAGTCCCCACCTTCCCCAAACCGCGTAGGACTCTGGGAGATGTAGTTCTCTTAGAGCCCGTGGACGCCCAAGCGTCGGTGGAAAGGAGCGAGAAAGTACCCCAAGGCACACAGCATGCCTTTCGCCATGGTGACGTCACAGTAGTTCCGCCGAGCGGTGGGTGGGGTAGGTACTGTTTAATAGAGAAGGGCGGGGAAGTGGATGTGAGGAAGGTTTCCAGTTGGGTTTTGTTCTGTTGGTGCAATTAAGGGCAGTGTTGGGGAGTACTCAGTTTTTTTTTCCTTGTCGTTCTTGTTTGTTTGTTTAACGGAGGGTCAGGAACGTAGAGGTTTAGCTGAACCGTAAGATCGGAAAAGAAATCTGTTGTGTCTTTACTCAACTGCTCTCAAGCTTCAGTTTCCCAGACACAGCAGGTAATTAATACAACCTAAGGAAGAAAACTGAGAATCAGATCTCCATTCTCCATGTTAACTTGAAGAAAACTGGCAAAGCTAGAGAGCCCAGGGCCCACTAGGACAGGAAGCCAAGGCCTAGCAAACTTTATCACAAAGCCCTAGACCCGTGATACTAACTTGTACTTTTAAAAGATGTTCTCAATTATTACCATCGTAAAATAAAAGTTGACCGTTTTACAAGGTTCGCACTCAGAAATCAGTCTATAAAATAATTCACTCATGTTCAACTACGTATGTGTTTTTAATTTTTTTCAACTAACACCTTACCAGAAAAAAAGGCCTTTTTTCACGCCAACTGACAAAGGTTTTGAAAAAACTTCAAATGGAAAATTCTTTTAAATCTTACATTCCTGTTTATATCTGTATATATATAAACGTATACCACATGACCAACTTACCTATGCTTGCAGTAATTATTGCTTTACTATTTCATATTTTCTGCATTTCTTTCAAGTACTTTATGATATCAGTTGCTTTTCTCCTTAGTCAGTTTGAGAAATTTAGGGGCAAACTGAAAATGAGAAACCTCCCTATTGCGTTCCTCAAAAGCTATGTGTAAATGTCTAAAACTTTTAAATGTATAGGTAAAACTTATATTTAAGTTTCTCCTAATGTGCTGGTCAAAGTTCAGTGGAATATTTACTTGCCAGGTTACAGGTAGGAGGAGTTCACTGGTAAAACTCTTCAAAAGCAAATGTTATGGGACTAGAGCCCCAAAATACTCACATCCTTCAATTCAGGTGTCATTGCAAGGATGCATCCTGAGGACATAATTTAATCTGTAGGAAAGCTTCGTTTAAAATATTTATCACAGGTTTTTTCTGTAATAGCAAAAGTGGGAACAAATCTAAATGGGGAAAGAAATGGTTCAACTTTGGCATGTACTCGAAATAAAACAGTATGAAGTATTTTTACCATTGTTGAAAATGTTTAACAAAAATTTCTAGAAGCATATTTCTTAAAAACACAAGATATATATATATATATATATATATATATATATATATATATAATATGAGAATTAAGTAAAATTACCAAGCAAACCATGCCTGAAATAGGAAACCCACTTATATAAAAATGATTTTCTCCAGATAGCTGGACTATAAATTTGTAAGAGAATCCTTTGAAACCCTCTAACAGATTTAGCAGCATGTCTGTTGTTCCCACAAAACCAGGTTTATTTAGGTTCATGTAACAAAAGACAACAAACCATAGGCAAAGCCTGGGAGTCTATCAGTCCTAGGACATTTAGAAAAGATTGGGCTGGATGATTTTAAAGGCAGGTTTTGAAGTAGGGAACTGGTAAGGGAGAAGCAGAGTTGTTTGCCAATTGGTTCAGGATTCAAGATGGAGAATTAACTATGAGGAATTTTTTTAATGTTTTACTTGGGATGCAGATCCATTATTTTGCTTTATAAGATCTTTTCTCTCTCTCTTAGTATAATTTTTCCCCTTTGCCCCCCTCCATCTGGTATTCCCCTTTTGTCTAACAATTCATCCCCTGCCTCCCCCACTTCATATCTATTAGTTGTTTGGTTTCTCCATTTCATATACTGTTCTTAACATACCTCTGCCTATTTTCTGCTTACCAATTATGCTTCTTAATTCTTGTACATTTTCCCCCACTTTCCCTCCTTCCAGCTGATAACCCTCCAAATGATCTCCATATATATAGATCTGTTCCTATTCTGGTCAATTGTTTGTTTTCATTTTTAGTTTCAGTTGTTGCTTATTGCAAGTTTGTTATTTTAATGTTTATAGTTTTTATCTTTAAAAAAAAATAAGTACCTCTAACATTTCATCTAATAATGGCTTAGTGATGATGAATTTCTTTAGCTTTACTTGTCTGGAAAGCACTTTATCTGCCCTTCCATTCCAAATGCTAACTTTGCTGTGTAGGGCAATCTTGGTTGTAGGTCCTTGACTTTCATCACTTGGAATACTTTCTGCCAAAATTTCTTTCTTTTTTTTCTTTAAATATTGTGACTGGCTTTATTTTAGTTTTATACTTTTATTTTATTTTTTTTAAGATTTTATTTATTTATCTTTAGAGGGGAAGGAGAGAGGGAGAGAAACCAATGTATGGTTGCCTTTCATGTGTCCCCTGCTGGGAACTGGCCTGCAGGGAATCAGCCTGCAACCCAGGCATGTGCCCTGACTTGGAATTGAACTGTGATCCTCTGGTTCGCAGACCTGCACTCAATCCACTGAGCTACACCAGCCAGGGCTCTGCCAAAATTTCATGCATGCAAAATTTCTTTTGAGAAATCAGCTGATTAGTCTAATGGGGACTCCTTTTAGGTAACTCTCTGCCTTTCTCTTGATGCTTTTAAGATTCTCTCTTTATCTTTAACCTTTGGCATTTTAATTATGATATCTCTTGGTGTGACCCTCTTTGGATCCAAGTTGTTTGGGACTCTCTGTACTTCCTGGACTTGTTTGTCTATTTTCTTTGCCAAATTAGGGAAGTTTCTTTCATTATTTTTTCAAAAAAGTTTTCAATTTCCTGCTCTTCCTCTTTTCTTTCTGGAATCTCTATGATTTAGATTTAGGTACTTTTGGAGATGTCCCAGAGTTGTGTTATACTCTCTTCATTTTTTCAAATTCTCATTTCTTCTTTCTGTTCTGGTTGAATATTTTTCATATTCCAAATTGTTGATTTGAATCTTGGCTTCCTTTCCTTCACTCTTTGTTCCCTGTTGATTTGTTTATTTCACTTACTCTAACCTTCATTTCTTCACTTACTGTTTTTCTATATTCAGTGTATTCTGGGAGCATCCTGATCACCAGTGTTTTGTACTGAGCATCAAAGTGTTTTGGCTATCTCCATTTTATTTAGTTTTTTTTCTGGGGTTTGTTCTGTTCTTTCATTTGGGCCATATTTCTTTGTGTCCTCAATTTTGCAGCTTCCCTGTGTTTATTTTTGTGTATTAGTTAGAGCTGCTTTGACTTCCTATCTTAGTATACCTGTTAAGTTGTATGGGATGGAGCCTTAGGTATTTGCCAGGGTGAGGCAACCCACTTCACCACTTTGTGGCTCTATATGGTGGGAAGGGTTGGAGAGGGAACTGTGCCGCTGCCTGGCTTCTGGAGGTATGCCCGACATTCCCCCATTTCCAGTCACATAACCCACCTCCCATATGCAATTTGCACCCTTCTAGCTGTTGCCTTGGTAGAGATTCACAGACCGGGTGGGTTTGTGCACATTCTAGGTATGTGTGGGCCCTTTAAATGGACCCTCCTGAGAAACTGGCAGTTTCTTCCACCACCCCAACCCCTTCTGGTTTTTACAGCCAGAAGTTTTGAGGCTTTATCTTCTTGGTGCCGGAACTTGTGGCTGTGCAGTCTGGCTTGGGGCTGTGATCACTCACTCCCACAGTAACTTCTCTGATTTTTTTTCCGCCACACATGAATGTGGGACTGCCTGTTCTACCACCATCACCACCGCCTCTCTACACCACACTGTGTCCTCTCCACCGTGAATTCCATGACTGTGTCTTTCCTCTGTGACTCCACCCCTCTTACCTGTTTAGATAAACATGGTTTCTTTAACTCCTTGGTTGTTGGACTTCCATGCAGTTCAGTTTTTCTGGCAGTTCTGGGTGTTTTTTGTTTTCAGGTTAGTTATAATTTGTGTAGTTGCATGAGGAGGCAAATAACATCTCCATCTTGACCAGAAGTCTCTATGAAGTAAGACCTTGAAGGGAGCTCATCAATGGATTTGATAACCATTCTAATTTAATTGTCTTAGATTTGTCCTAAGCAATATCATAATAGATTTCCTGATCTACGTTCGAGGCATTATGTTGATATTCTTCCTTCAACTCATTATGCAACAAAGAAGTATCTTCAACTTTTGTTTTCATTAGTTTTCTATTGACTTTCTTGATGTTCTTGGTGGATGATTATTTATAGAACCTTCTGTCTGAACATTGGCTGCACAGCAGGATTTAAGATTCTGGGGACCAGGCTCTTGCTAAGGGTAGGTATCAATAAGGCTCAAGCCTCATTAAGAATCATTATCCAATATTCCTAAATCTCAAAAAAAAGAGAAGAAAGTATGGTTAGCATGAGCCTGTAACTTACTTAAGGATCATTCAACTTGGGCAAAAGAGTTCATGAATACACAGCATCAAATCCTGTTATACATTAGTAAAAGCACAAATACTTCCAATGCAATTCTATTTTTAAGAACTATATTTGGTTTGGATTAAATGCTCTGGTTTTAAAATCTGGCAAGTGGAATGATGTCTTTGACAATGTCTGATAAAGTGAGAAATAGCTTTATATGCATTTATTCCAGAACAATACTCTTCCAGGAAAAAGATGGCTTTTTATGGAGTCAGTTGTCATCATCATCTCCTAGGAGTTATAAGATTAAAACAAAGATGTTTTGGTTCTGTAAGAGTGTAAAACCTAATCTGGAGGTCTATAGAACAACTTTTTGTTCCTCTCAAGTCTGGAATCCTGTACAAGTGTCATTCATAAAGAAAATAAGCCTGTTAGAGCACAAGACAAAAGAGAGTGGCTTATTTCTGGGCTTGGTTTGTAAGTGCAAGGTAC